GGGAAAAGGGCGGGGAGAAGAAGTTATTTCGGCTGTCCAAGTTGAGAGAGAGGAAGGCTCGAGATTTGGACCAAGTGAGATGCATCAAGGACGAGGATGGTAGGATACTGGTGGAAGATGCCCAGATTAAGAGGAGATGGCAAACTTACTTCCACAGACTTCTGAATGAAAAAGGGGATCGGGATATTGTGCTAGGCGAATTGGAGCATTCCGTGAGTCACCGGGACTTCGGGCACTGCAGGCGTATCAAGGTTGAGGAGGTCGTGGGGGCTATGCGTAGGATGAGTAGGGGAAGAGCAACCGGACCAGACGAGATTCCAGTGGAATTTTGGAAGGGTGTAGGGAGAGCAGGTTTAGAGTGGTTGACTGGGCTGTTTAATGTTACTTTCAAGGCAAAGAGGATGCCAGACGAGTGGAGGTGGAGTACGGTGGTCCCATTGTACAAGAACAAAGGTGATATCCAGAGTTGTAATAATTATAGGGGTATCAAATTACTGAGTCATACCATGAAAGTATGGGAGAGGGTCGTTGAAGCAAGGGTGAGGATGACAATGTCTATATTAGACAACCAGTTCAGGTTCATGCCGGGTTGTTCAACCACAGAAGCTATACACCTTGTTAGGAGGTTGGTGGAACTGTATAGAGAGAGAAAGAANACTATCCATGGGGGAGGGGAGATTGATGAAGATGTCACACACCGTATTGGGGTAGGATGGATGAAGTGGAGGTTAGCATCCGGAGTTTTGTGTGACAAAAGAGTGCCAACAATACTCAAAGGTAAGTTCTATAAAGCGGTGGTTAGACCGGCCATGATGTATGGGGCGGAGTGTTGGCCTGTTAAGATCTCACATATCCAAAAGATGAAAGTAGCTGAAATGAGAATGTTGAGGTGGATGTGCGGGCACACCAAGATGGACAAGATTAGAAATGATGATATTCGGGAGAAGGTGCACGTGGCTCCCACTGATGACAAGATGCGAGAAGCGCGGCTCAGATGGTTCGGGCATGTAATGAGGAGAAGCCCAGATGCTCCAGTGAGGAGGTGT